TGTGAAGACATTCGTTCTCATTCATACCTTTCCACATCTAAATATTCACAGAAAAGTGACATGTAACCAAGAATGCCACAATACATTGTAGCCAATCATACATTCAAAAGATTAAACATTGCCAAACGTTACCCCGAAAATCAACAGTAATATTACCTTCGTCAAAATAATAATAAGAGGTTGTTTTGCAGAAGAATCTAACGTCTCCCATTCTTTCCCAGTGGCCGAAGGATTGCTCATTGTACGAGCGTATCTTTCGAGGGCCCATTCACCTAAACGATCCATTGTTACTCGCAAAATATGAGGAACTGAAGGGCCAAAGTTGCGTGGCATGTTTTGAGATTCGCATTTCCCGTCTGACGGAACGAGCAGCATTTGGTGGTGAATAAAAATAATTGTGTTTAACTTTAGTTCGTTTATGTATTTTTGGTATATCATTTGTGTTTTTTCTATACGTTTGGCATTTTTTCTTTACTATTAGTTCGTATAAGAAAAAAGATGCATGGAAATGTCAATAAATAGCAGATGCTATGTGATCTAAAATGGTAAACAGACATTGTCCGAAACCTTTTCTGATAATTAGATTTAGTTTCACAGAATTTGCAATCGCATTAACAATTTTAAGATTATCTGCAATAATGTAAATATCGGTATGTTTATGGCTTAATAAAATCATTTAAAATGTTACTAGATATCATAAAATACATGTATAACCATTGTTTTGGTTGAACGACATCCGAACGCATCGTCACAAGAAATTTGGTTTGAAGTTTGTAGTAGATCCTCAACTACTGAAAGTCCGATCTAATTATGGCTTCTTCTGGAATTCGTATTAAGCTAGAAAGAGAAGAGCCAGGTAATTTATATAATTACGAAATTATTTTAATACACTTTGGAGGAAATATATATAAAGGCCAGTGAGAAAAGACTGTAAAAGCAAAACTAGTCGTCGAATATCGCAACCTTATATCTTAAAAATAGATATTATCATGTTTTTTAGTCGTAAAATAATAATAAATTTCCTTTTAATGGGTAATACTGTAATTTATGAACTATTCATTTTGTGTAATACTAAATCCTAAGGTAATGACCATGAAACAAAGTCATATTGGTGTGTAAATGTTCATTATTTTTCTTCAACAAGATATATATGCGGACTTAGGATTTGTACTGAAGCGTATCTATTATCGGAAGGGAAAATGGAAATTCAAGGAGAAAGTTAGATTTAGAGAATGAAAGAGAGAAAGAAGAGAGGAATATAAAGAAAAAAAGGGTAAAAGAGAAAGGATTAAAACAAGGAGTGAGGGAAAGGGAGAAGGAATGAAAAATACAATGATGGTTGACTGCAGAGTACAATTGCACACTAGAGATAGTTTGACGTCCTGTGAACATAGATTTAATATAGATTTCCAAAAAAATGCAACTGAATTATATATTATATTCCTCCTCCTGGTCATTATTTTTTGTCAATGTTTGTATGTGAAATCAAAATCATTATTTAGAAGTTACTTTGCTTAGTTACTGCTTCTTTGCGACTATAACTTTTTTCAGAATTGTTCCACTATCTAATTACATCAAGGCAAACCAGACCCAAATACCAGATGGCAATTATTCATGCCACATGCTGTCAAGCTAACTCAAAGTTGAGTGTACTAAATTGTTGTAAGCTTGCTTGAAATGAACTGGAGCCCTTTAGGAGTTATAGCCATTCAAAAGTAGTCCATTCTAAGCATCATTTCATAAAGATTATTTATATGCAGCAGCTTAAAGCATAGCAGGGTAAATGTATGCTCTCAGTACTTCAGATTTCTCACACAATTGGCTGATTGCTCTGGAAACCTGGCATATGGGAGAGGATAGTGCAGGGAATTTCCGTTGTAAATGGGTTAATGATGATATAATTCATCAAATGACTTTGAAGATTACCTAATTACCAAATATCCACAACTGATAATGCATTCTTATTATGGAATAACCCAGGCAAATAGGAGAAATATTACAAACTAAGAATTCTAAGAAGAGTTGTAACACATTATTAGTTAAGATATATATTTGAATATTTAAAGAGATGTTTGAGACCTTTTTTTTTTTGTGTGTGTGTGTTATAAATTTACATTGTGTGTGTGTGTGTGTGTGTATGTACGAATATGTGTGTGTATGTACAAATGTGTGTTTGTGTATGTATGAATATGTGTGTGTGTGTGTGTGAGTATGTGTATGTGTTTTATTGTGTGTTGGTGTATGTTTATGTACAAATGTGTATTTGTGTCTGTGTGTCTGCTTTGGTTATTTTTGTTATTCATGACCAAATTTATTAGTCCACTCTGACTCTACCCGTTATTTTACCAAGAGATGTATGGAGATTTTTTCAATGGGGTATCAAGAAATACAGAAAAAGAAAGATATAAGATATATCTTTTCATGATAAAAAATCATCAGGAAAGGACTGCTTCCAGTAATAATTATAGCATAAGTTTTCTTCATACAATAGATAGATTTTCAAGACTTTGCCAATTATTTGCCACTGACCAAAACTCTATTTGGGTTGGACAGATTTTGGGTATCCTCAGCAGGTCATGCTTCAAGAATGTCAGTCACTAAATAGACCATTGAAATTAGTCATAAAGCAAATGCTTTTTATCTTTTAATTTTCTTTTTTGTAGGCATTATGGTTCCAAAGCTTACATGAATCAAATTCTTTCTATAGTTTGATGATAAATTCTTAAAATTACGTAGAATTAATGTATGATGCAATATATTTGGAGGTGCTCTATATAAGAGCACTTCCAGATATATTGCATATCTGGAGGTTGTAGTATATGAATTGTATTTTTTCTTATTGGCAAATACTTTATAAATATCTGAAATTCTACATATACTCATTTACTAAAAACTTTACAGGAGGTGAGGTGGATGCTGCACGAGGGAGATTTGATGCAGCTCTTCAGGGGCTACTGCAGAAGGATGAAGAATCGGATTCAGAAAATGAATCAGACAATGAGAGCAAATCCAAAGTTTTGTAAGTATTAATAATGTAATATATTCTCTATGTTTGCATGAAAGATAGACTTTAGACATCACCAAAGTATTTGTTATGAAGATATTATTTATTGTTGATGATTTATATTGTAATGATTTTTACCATCATCATAAAATGAATAAAAACATCATATGGATTTGAATATTTGCCAAAGGACTTAATTTGTCATTCATGAATAGCAACTAGTACAATTGCTATTGTACTAGTTGTACTAGCAATTGTGCAGTATAAATAAAAGAAGAAGAAAAAGAAAAGAGCTTTGTGTTATATCAAGCAGGAATCTTCGTTCCCCCAGCACCAAGATTGGTCTAAGCAGCGGTAGGAGTTCCCGGCCACCCCGCAAGAGACGCAGGAAAGAGGTCGACCTCAGGGACTCGGGCTTCCACCATACGTTCGTCATGCGGATGTTTGACCGGAGCGTGGACCTGGCACAGTTTGATGAGACGTCACCCTTGTATCCCATCTGCCGGGCATGGATGATCAACCAACCCCATAACTCCAGTCTGAATGTAAAGTGAGTCTGGGTGATCGGGTTAAGGAGTAAAGTGAGCTACTAGTGCTGGGGCTACTGTTGCATTGTTCGTCCAATTTAAGCAGTAGTAAGGTTTTGTGAAGTGTTTGTCATTGCGCTTATAGTATTTAATTTTTATTATTATATTGCACGTACACCCCAAATATAAGGTATCCCCTAGGCATAACAAGGAAGGTATTATATTTTAGAGTTGATTTCATGTAGACGCAATCTTGCATTCTTGAATTACAATCATGATAATGATTAGCGCTGGTACAAAATTATCTCCATTCCACCATATTTCATTAGCTACAACCTACTGCTCAAGTCTTCTGTTTTACTAGGAGTTAAAGGCCAGCAACTCATTTGTTTCCCTAGTTACCCACCCACCCACCCACCATCCTACTTACTTATTTACTTACTTACTTACTTACTTTACTTTACTTACTTACTTACTTTACTTACTTACTTACTTACTTACTTACTTACTTACTTACCTACCCTACCTACCTACCCCTACCTACCTATCTACCTACCTTCCTACCTATTTACCTACCTTCCTACCTACCTACCCACCCACCCACCACCACCCACCCACCACACACCCACCCACCCACCCACCCACCCACCCCACCCACCCACCCACCCACCCACCCACCCACCCACCCACCCACCCACCCACTACCTACCTACCTACCTACCTACCTACCTACCTACCTACCTACCTACCTACCTACCTACCTACCTACCTTACCTACCTTACCTACCTTCCTTACCTTTCTTCCTTCCTTCCTACCTACGTACTTACCTACTTACATCTCTCTCTCTCTATCTATCCATCTATTATACACATATTAATGGTGCTGCATTGGTTGTCATCCTCTCCATAGATTTCAACTGTTTTATATTCCCTTTCTGTTGTTCACCAGGCAAGAACCATGCAGTCCAAGCGCAGAAATGTTCAACAGTACAGAGGAGAGCCAGGATGGAGATTTTGTGCGGGAAATCCTTTCAGACGGCCCCCCTGCCATGTACACAAAGATCCCATCCCCGCACCCATGGCCTGAGAACACAGGAACCCGGGACCCGAGGATACCTGAACCTCTCCCTCACCCAGAGAGTAGATTAGAGGAGATAAATGTAAGGAAGAAGTTTTTGGATTCTTAGCGATGTGAAATGTATGTTGATGGTGCAATGGTATTCATATGAACAATTTTATTTTAACAACTGTGGTAGAGATAGTCGGTTTTACATTCACTGAATTCCATGAAGGCAGTCTGTTATTATATTCACTGAATTCTGTGAAGGCTTCCTGAAATTGGGTAATTGGCCACTCATGCAGTTTTATGAATAGTAGTTATATCTTACAATAAGTTGTAAGAACCTTAGATTAGCAAGCTGTTGCAAATTGATTATCAACACCTTATTGATATTGACTGCAGGTATTAGATTAATTGTTTCTTGTAATATATTAGAATGAGGTAAGATCAGAGAATTAGTAAAGCCATAGGAGTGTCTAATAATGATAACAGTGATTATATATATATATTGTTAAGATAATTCCTTTATTCTTCTTTCCATAGAACCTTGAGCACACTCCAGCTGGCTTGTTGCTGACCGAGCATCTAAAAAGATGGCGTCAGATACGCAATCATTGGAGGAACACTTCCAAAGTCAATGACCAACGTTATCACAACTCTTATGTTATTCTGAAGACAATGTTTGACAGGTAAGACAGAGTACTACTTTTCAATGTTTATAAAATTGAATTACTTTCTTTCTCTTTTAATAGTCAGTGTTTTAGCTTTTTTCATGAAATGGCATACAAACAATATATACTTTACCACATTTAGATTAATTTGTACTTTTTTGTTTTGATTTTCAGGGCACATGAAGGATAAAGGGAAAATGAAGAAGAAAATTTTAATATTTCTTTTTAATAGCCAGTGGTCAAATAAATAATGTTAGGTTTTTACAGACTATTTATCATTGCAAAACCATGATGTGTATGGTTAAGAGAGAAGCATATTTAATACTTTTTGGATAATTTGGAGTTTTCTACTTTGAATTGCTATGCCAGAGTATATATATAAGAATAAGAATTCAACACATGTGACCTTTATTTCTGGTTTTATAGAAATAATTGGGTGGAACTGATACTGTTTCAGTTATTCAATACTAAAATTCATAAATTATTGAATATTAGTATTATTTATAGATGTATTTGGTATGAGATTTCCTATGGCTAACACTAAACTTCAAAGTACTTTTAATAAAGACAAATTATTGTGAGTAAGTCCAGGTTTTATTTTAACCTAACATTTGTGTAAATGCTCACAGGGTGTTACCATAGTAGATTTTTATAGTCCTGATAAAAAATTTGTATTACTTCCAAGTATGAAAAACTGAAGTTAAAAGAATACTGTCATAAAGTAATAGGCACTGCATCATCACAAAAACAGCAGCTACATTGTATTCATCATCGAGTATTTCTTTCCTTACTTAGTCCTATGAACTCTGTACAACGGACACTTGTGGGTAAGTAAATGACCAATATTCATAAAAAAAGGAGGATAATAAAAATACAGAAATATTTTTTATAACATTTATCTTAAATTATAAGAATAAGTTAATGAACTTTCATGAAGTTTATAACGAGTATGTTATACACAAGCTTATAGTAAGAAAAATTGTCATGATGTTCTCACAACGACCATAGCATTTCTGATTTTGAGACATCGACATCAGGGAGGAATGTATAATGCATAATTGACAAAATGCACTGTTGATAGCTTGGTAGAGAGAACAAGTTGTAAAATTCTTATCAAATCTTACCAAAAAGTCATTCAGAAATTGCAAATTCTGGGTGATTCACCTGTCAGATAACTCACCAGCAATACCACTGTTAATAAATATACTGTATGTATTAGATATAATATTGATGGGTCCAGATTTGTGCAAAAACTGTAGCAAATTTTAATGAATTTCCTTATAAAACATTTCTATAAGCGTCCATATCCATTCTTTATACCATTGCTTCATATCATACTTATCAGAGACAATTATTATTTTAACCTTTACCTACTTTCAGTGAAACAAATATTCTCAACACTATAAGACTGGTATATTAATATCATTGTTGTTTTTAAACATACCAAAATACAAAAACTTAAACAGTAAAACCATTACTCTAAGTTAATCTCATTATTACCACTATTAGAGTTGTTCTGGAACAGTACCTACAAAACAGTTCCAACTCTGACAAAAGATCATTGCCAGAGCAGATGAATGGTTAAAAAGCCACTGTGTATGAAGACTTTTATAAAGCCAACCATTTTGAACTAGAATAATGCTAGAGTAATGCAACCACTGTTGAACAGCAGAACAATTACTAACAATCTAACCTCGGACAATCCTAATACCAACACTGGAGTGCAAATTGGCAGTTTCTCCTTCCTTACAAACCCATATTTCTAGGTACAGCACAATTCCCGCTACTTAAAACCATGTGGTAATTATTGCTGATTTCTGGACCAAAGCCTGACCATTCTCACTAGAGAAAACATTTTAGAGTATGACAAAGGCACATTTACAATACATGGAAGATGGTAGACTTGACTTTTTGTATTCTGATTATATGTTATGGAAGCGTACACATAACAATAAAACTTGAACATGTAATTTTATTTCATGTCTGGAGGGCTCTGAGAATTGTGAAAGATTTAGAAAGCTGTTTCATACAGAATGGGCCTATATCTTAGGCTGATGGACACATTTATTAGACAATTATTTAAATCTCATTTAACATAAATTTGATTTTATGCCTTTATATTGTAAACACTGCATTGCTGATATATTGAGAGCAATGCAGGCAAGCACAAGAAATGTGGAATGAATTGAATATTTTGATTAAAATGTATATATGAATTCATTACACCAATTAAAGAAAGAAAACTTAAGATTATTATTTTATGTAGGAACAACTATAGTTAAGAATGCAGTATAGCTACATATTTTTCACAAAAATTTCATTACATGACTTCAGAGGGCTGTGAACCACTTTAATGATCTAACAAAAATTGTGTCAAAAGTATTTTAGTTTTTTCTCATATATCTTCCAAAATATTAGTTAACTAATTATTTCTTTATATTCATGATAATCATGTTGACAATGCAATTTTATGCATCTAAGAGTGCAAGTGTTATTCAGGGACTTGAAAAAAATAAATAAGTTTGAAAAAAATAACTTTGGAATAAACATTCTAGCTACAAGATATTCATAATATCTGCCTGACATTGCACAGTCTACATGCATACCATGAAAAAATAAGCTGCATCTTAGATGCTTTATAAATAATGTATGTATTTTATATAGGTATTTTTTCACAGTCTCATTCATGCTGTTTTTGTTAGCATGTTTTCAGCTCACTAGCAAGACATCATACTGCACTATGAGAAACAAAGTATGATTTTACCTTAAATTCTTAGATAACAAATCTTTCAGGAAGGACCCCATCACACTTTTTTTGTACCATATTGATGGCAGAAGACAGCTTTTGTGGTATATAGGGAACATGTTTCCTGGGTTGTACAAGAATGTGAATAAGACACTAAGAGGATGAAAGGAAAATGTTAGGCAACTCTCCCATCCCGAAATGTATATGGAAATACTAACTTATGTTCGAAGATGATTTTTCTCGATACGCTTTAGTGCTGGAGATAATTCATCTTAGTATATTTCCTTGCACAAAGGAAAATATGTTGGTCTTTCATTATCTTGAGAAATATATGTAAAAAAAAAAAAAAAAAAAAAAAAAAAGTACCATAACCAAGATACCCCTGAAATTATGTGACTTGAATATATGTTGATTTTGTATTTAGGAATTACAAAGGAATACAATATGTAGTGTGGAATACGTTGTACATAGTGGAACACTATACTCGTGTTTTTTCCCAAGTGAAACTATATCTTTTTCGAAGCAAAGATTCAAATATAGTGATGTTATTTTGACATGCATTAAGCCAATCCTCACCAACATACTGGCAAGTACATCTTCGCCTCAATGAAAAATTAAATAGAGTAAAGTATAGTAATGCCTCAGTGTGTGTGTGTGTATGTGTATGTGTGTGTGTGTGTGTGGTGTGTGTGTGTGTTGTGTGTGTGTGTGTGTGTGTGTGTGTGTGTGTGTGTGTGTGTGTGTGGTGTGTGTTGTGTGTGTGTGTGTTGTGTGTGTGTGTGTGTGTGGTGTGTGTGTGTGTGTGTGTGTGTGTGTGTGTGTGTGTGTGTGTGTGTGTGTGTGTGTGTGTGTGTGTGTGAAACGAATGAGGCTATCCATAAAGTGTTCCGAAAAAAGATTAATGGTGGAACATACCCTTACTATTCGACCAGATTCAAGTGACCGAAAATCGCATGCTTACAAAAACAAGAATCTGCCAGTGTTCTGCTATGAGTTTTCGGCGTCGCGGATTGTCTTGGGGGCGTCTGAGACTACACGGACGAGTAAGGCCCTGAGGCACAGAAGGAGGAGGAAGACGAGGACGAGTTAAGCCACGAGATGGAGGTCGAGGAGGAGGAGGAGGAGGAGGAATGGTGCCAGGCGTGGTATCGCCGCCGGTGCCTGAAGGAGGAGTTCGGGGAGCTGAAGCGCAAGAGCTCCGACAGGAACCGCCTGGGGCTGGACACTCGCCCTTGGGGCTGCTCCTGCCTTGCCTTGTCCTGCGCGTCCCCCTCCGGCTGCGAAGGCGAGGGCGCCTGGGGGAGCGGCTGGCTCGGGGGGCGCGGCGGCAGCACCATCGCGCTCGTGTCGTAGCTGTCGCTCCTGTCGCGGGACTTGATGAGCCAGTCGTCCTCGATGTACTTGAAGACCTCCTTGGCGGCGTAGCGCGACCAGCCGCGGGGCTCCAGCAGGCGCCGCACCAGCCGAAGGAGGCGCACCGTGAACCTCTTGAAGGGCCTGGGCACGCGGGTCGACTTGACGCGCTGCCAGTTGCGGAAGGCGGCGTAGTCGGGGTCGGACATGTCACTGGCGGCCCAGGGCTTCACCCCCGTCAGGCAGTGGATGATGAGCACGCCCAGCGCCCACGAGTCCAGGGAGGTCCCGGTGTAGTAGCACTCGCCCACGTCGCTGCGGCTGAGCTCGGGTGGGTTGTAGGGCCCGAGGGACAGGCGGCGCCGCACGTACGTCCCGCTGCGGCAGGTGGCGCCGAAGTCCGTGATCTTGACCAGGGACAGGTTGGGCCGGAAGATCAGGATGTTCTCAGGGACCAGGCA